TTATTTCCAACTTCTAGATTCAGTTCACGACATACCAATACCCACGCTGTATCTACCATAGAGACATGCTGATAATAAGTGCTTAATAAGAACTTGATCTTGACTTTGTTTTAGAAAAGATAAGGCAGTGGTTCAAATGAAATGTCCCTGTAAATTAACTGGGGAAAATATGAATTAAAAAACAAACATACAGTATACAGTGACTCACATCTATAATCCCAGCACTTTAGGAGGCTCAGCTTGGGGGGAGGATCCTTCAGCCCAGGAGTTTGAGGCCTGCCTGAGCAACAAATGGAGATCCTGTCGCTACAAAAATTAAAAATTACTTATGCGTGGTGGCAGCTGCCTGTGGTCTCAGCCGCTCTGAAGGTGAGGAAGGACTGCCTGACCCAGGGAGGTCAAGGTTGCAGCGAGATGTGATTGCACCACTGCACTCCAGCCTGGGCAACAGAGTAAGATCCATCTCATTTAAAAACAAAACAAACAAAAAAAACCAAGGCCGGGCACAGTGGCTCAAGCCTGTGATCCCAGCACTTTGGGAGGCCGATGCAGGCAAATCACCCGAGGTTGGGAGTTCAAGACCAGCCTGACCAACAAGGAAAAACCTCATCTCTACTAAAAATACAAAAATTAGCCGGGCATGGTGGCATGTGTCTGTGGTCCCAGCTACTCGACAGGCTGAGGTGGAAGAATCGCTTGAACCCAGGAGGCGGAGGTTGCAGTGAGCCGAGATTGCACCACTGCACTCCAGCCTGGTGAGAGAGCAAGACACCGTCTCAAAAAAAAAAATAAATACTATACTTCAGCAAATTAGCTGGACATGGTGGCACATGCCTGTAATCCCGGCTACTCAGAAGGCTGAGGCGGGAGAATTGCTTGAACCTGGGAGGCGGAGGTTGCAGTGAGCTAAGATCATGCCACTGCACTCCAGCCTGGGCAACATGGGTAAAACTCTGTTTCAAAAAAAAAAGGAGACATTATAGCCGTTAGTATAAATACTATACTTCAGTGAAAGGTGTCAAAATATAAATGTCCACAGATAGTAAATTAAATAAGAATAAAGAAGATTAAGAATTCATATCAAAAAAATAGGATAAGGGCCAGGCATGTTGGCTTACACCTGTAATCCCAGCACTTTCGGAGGCTGAGGCAGGAGGATTACTTGAGCCCAGGAGTTCAAGACCAGCCTGGGCCACACAGGGGGACCACCATCTCTACCAAAAAAAAAAAAAAAAAAAGTTTCTTTAATTAGCCAGGCAAGGCATAGTGGCACATGCCTAAAGTCCAGCTACTTGGGAGGCTGAGATGGGAGGATCTCTTGAGCCTGAGGAGGATGAGGCTACAGTGAGCCGTGAATCCTGCCACTGCATACCAACGACAGAGCAAAACCCTGTATCAAAAAAAAAAAGGGAAACTAAGACTAAAGATTGTAAGATCAGATAAAAATAATTTTTATATTAAAAAGTTATAAATTAAAAATTGTGGGCTGGGCACGGTGGCTCACTTGTAATCCCAGCACTTTCGGAGGCTGAGGCGGCTGGATCACGATGTCAAGAGATCAAGACCATCCTGGCCAACATGGTGAAATCCCATCTTACTAAAAATACAAAAATTAGCTGGGCATGGTGGCGAACACCAGTAGTCCCAGCTACTTGGGAGGTTGCAGGCAGGAGAATCCCTTGAACCCAGCAGGCGGAGACTGCAGTGACCCGAGATCGCACCATTGCACTCCAGCCTGGTGACAGAGCAAGACTCCATCTCAAAAAAAAAAAAAAAAAAAAAAAATCTGTTTTGTCTATACTGCAATCATTATAGTAAAGCATTCTATACTGTCTAAATGGAATTAGAATCTACTTTCTATGCATATGAATTGCCCCCACCTCCAGCTGTGAGACAGGATTAAATGAGATGATGAGGTAAGTGCCTGGAAAATTGAAGTCCTTCAAATATAAGGGCTCCTATTTTTCTACCTTGATTATGGCTACTGAAGGCCTAAATTAAATGGAAATCATGTTGATTTTTACAAACATATTTCAAGTTTGACAACTCTTTCACACTAGGGATGCTAGTCTACACTATTATCCACTAACACCTACAGTATCAGCAAAGCAAAAAGATCTATCTTCAATAAGCATGTAACATAGTATGAATTAAACCATAATTCATGGATTATAATAATCACTTCCTAATATGGACAGATCTTGGCGAGAAAGTGCACAGAAACCACCTCCATACTCTAAGGGCTTATAGGAAAAACAACAGTCCTAAGCATATATATTTTTTGTTAAATGCTGCCATTTTAAAATGAAATCATTTTCATTAGATTCACATAAATAAGCATCAGTTGCTACAGGCATTAAAAGGTACACATAAACTAAGCTTTCACTATAAAGAAAAATTCCTATAAGATGAAAAATTACTTGAAATCACAGCTCTCTGTACTAAAGTTCATGATGTCAACACCATGAACTGCCTGTAGAAGCCTTTTTAATTTTCTCAAAGCATGTTCATGTGTGCAAGGAAGGTATTTATTTAGTAAACCACTTACTGGTCAGATTGCATCTAATATAAATGTATTTTATCAGTGAGAACTGATTACAGGACATTTTAAAGAACAATGTAGGGAAAATAGTATCCTGTATTTTAAAACCTCATTGAAAAGAAATAGAGGCACATTAACTACACATATCTTTTTAAATCAAATACTGCCAGGTATATTCAAGTTCCAGAAAGGTGGGAGCTTATAAAAACAGAAGTGGTAGTGAAAAAGAACGAGAAATGCAAGATTATCTTCCAAACCTAATCCCAGTTAGTATCTGCAGTAGTGCCTATAACAAGATAAATTGCTAATAACATTTATGAAACCACATGGAAATACCACTCTTCTAACCCTACCTATTCTCTCCTCTTTTTGGCAATCCATTAAAAGAATCACTGCTACATTTGAAATAAGACACAACTTTATAAAAACTTTTAAAAGCTTTATCGATTCCTATTTTGAAAGAGGAAAGAGGAAAATAGTTCACACAGTCACAAGTAGTTGCTTCATGCTCCCAAACCAAAAAATCCCAAAGAACAAAAAACTACTAACAAAAGAATTAACACAATGTCAGGGCAAACTTGAAGATTTGGTAGGGCAAACCAAGTAGTCATTTGAAGAGCCCTAAACAGTAGAAAGGTCTACCACACATATCAGATAATCAAAAAATCACATTTGGCTTTACGATGCATTTTAAAAAGTTTTCTGTTTATAAGAGCACAACCATTTAAATATATTCTCCATTCTCTAAGACAAGCAAGGACTGATAGTTTAAAAGAAGCCTGCATGCATATCTGAAAGAATGAACACTAATGCTTTTTATTTAAAACTTTTTTCCACAGTGGAGGAACAATCACAATGAATAATGGGCTTGTCTGTAGCAAAAACTTGTTCTAACAGCATTCATCAGCAAAGTAACTTGGAAGAATTTACATTTCGTACATTTTTTTAAAAGTGCAAACTTTACGGCCAAAGTCCAAATGAGAAATCAAAACAGGCCTCCAGACAGTGAATTACCTTTCAGGGCATGTTCACTCTTGCTTCAAACAGTAAAGCAAAGTAACTTTCATGTATGATGAAAGTCAGTCAGACTAATGTGTCCAGCAGTCACTTAAAAGGGGAACTTACTTATTTTGACTATTTCCCAATTTTTCCCTGAAAGTTTCAGGTCTAAGCTCCATTGGCTTGAGTGATCTAATGACCTTTGTATCCCGGGGTGAAAGAGGGCAAAGAAAAAAGGAGGATATTACAGGTGACTTCCAGGTTAGAAAAAAGTTGCGAGGAGTTAGCTCTACTAATTGTATCTAAGTTAGTGAATGGACGAATACTGTGACGTGTAAGAGAAGCTAGTTCCTCAAAAGGTAACTGGCATAATTAAAACGCATCCAAACTCACGCATCATCAAACATCATTTTACCGATGTTTTTTAAAAGACGTGTGTTATTTGTAAATAAGTTTATTAATCCATTTTGAATTCCAACAGTCTATGCTTCACTGAAACTCGAGCTTCTGAATTCAAGCCGCCAGAGTTAACAGTTCCAGGAACTGATAGGAACATCAGCAAAAAGGTTTTTTCCACATTCCCATTTGAAAAGCTTGGGGAGCAGAGCTGACAGTCACAAACTAACGCCTAGTCAAAAGTATGGGCACAATGATTAAATTCCACCAGAAGCAAATAAAAATCCCAACTTTCCGGAAAGATTTCCCTACACCAAAGTGAATCCTTTTACTTTCATTCCCACAAAGAAGGTAATTTGAGAGAAAAGTTGGGCAACTGGGTATAGTATTTAAACTAAAATGAGTCGAAGCAACTACACTGAAGCTACTAGAGAGGAGATGAAAGGTAACCCAAGCGCGGGAGGGAAGGTGGAAGAGAAAGCTGGGAAGGGATGGGGGAAACAGCTAGCAGAGCAAAGGAAATGGATCACTTCAAGGGAGGCAGCCCGGAGGGATAACAGGAATCTGGGTGAAAGGCACCAGGCGTTTACGGAAACCCGAAGAAGGCTGATGAAGAAACAATGGGGCTGGGAGACCGGGAGCAAGCGGGAAGACGCTCAGGCGAGGGCGACGAGGCGGCACCGGACGGGTGGGACGGGAGAGCAGAAGGCTGCAGTGGAGACGGATAGGAGGTGAGAAGCCCGGTAGGGAGGCAAGTTGGTTGGGTAAGATGGGGTGTGGTAGCTCACCGGGTAGGGAGGCGAGGGTCCCCAGGGAATAGGGAGGGGAGTGGCTTGTCAGATTTTGAGACGGGGAACGGAGGCCGAGAAGGCAGGTGTGATGGAAGCAAAAGAACACAGCTCCACCGGCACAGGACCCGCCGAGCCAGAGAAGACGCAGCAAGGGGGAAGAGGCAGCAAAAGGGGAAAAGAAGAGAGGGAGAGAAGGACGCGGGTCGTGCGGGCGACGGGGAGGGGGCCGCCGTTGGCTTCACTCACAGTCCAGGTGCTTTTTCTTGGGCCCCATGATCTCGTGGGTCGTGGCCTTGCATACTGTCTTGGACACGGCGGAGCCGGTGACACTGTGCTGGGCGGCAGTGATTCGGTCCGTCAGGCTCTGGCCGGACATCTCTGTAGCTCCTCCACCACCCCTCCCGCTCAGCAGCTGGCGGGGACTGGGACCCCCAAGAGCCGGAGGGTCCCTACCCCCCCCACCGCACCCCCTACCCCCACCGGCTCCTTCCCTGCCTGCCGGCCTGGGGCGGGGCTCAGGGCCGCGCGCTGCCACCCAGCCCAGAGAGAACCGGCTTGTGTCACCCGCGGAGTCGGACAAGATGTCGGGCACTCCCTTGCCCCCGCCTCAGTTCAGCCCACCCCTTCCCTGGTCAGCTGGAGCCCGGCAGGGTAAGAGGGACAGGCAGCTGCAGGAAAATGGCGGCGCCAGGCTCCTCCTCGGAGCTTTCCGGGCTGCCCCCGGGTCACGTGACTCGGACCCCGCCCCCTCCTCCCTTCTCCCGCCCCCTCCTCCCTTCTCCCGCCCCTTTCCCTTTCCTTTTCCTCTTCGACGCCCGCCCTCCCTCGCTGAGCGAGGGAAGAGCGGGGCGGCGCCCGCGCGTTACGTGATGGAACCCGCCAGGCCGGCGCAACAGGAGGCCAGCCCGAGGGGAGTGCGCAGCCGGCGCGTCACGTGACTCTCCCTGCCAACAGGTCGCCTGAGGCTCGGCCCGCGGGGGTCACAAACGGGGGGTGGGGCGGGGGAAGAACGGCGAGGGCGGCGTGCAGGGGGCAGGGCGGCAGGCTTCTCTCCTCGGTCCCCCCACCCCCAAGGGTGTCCTAGTGTCTGTGGTTGAAACTAACAGCTTGACAAAGAAGGTGCAGCTGTCTTCACAGAGGTCGGGGGTGTTAGGGCTCTGGCTCCTTGAGCTTTCCCAGCAGAGTCAAGAATGTATTTCAAGACACCTTCCAAAGCCGCCCTCCCTGGCTTAAAGGAGAGGGTTCCAATCGGCCTATTTTCTGAAGAACTTACCAGCAGGCCTCTCTCTACTGTGGAACTGTTGAAGCTCTCCTTATTTACTTACCCCGGAAAGGTTTTTTCCCCCTTTCCTTGAGAGGCTTGGAAATGTCACCTGGTTTTGTTTATCTCTACTCCGAAAACCCGACTCGTTGCTGCCAGTCTAAATTTAGATACTAGCTGGCCCGTATTCATTCTCTGGGGTGTGGAATAGGACAGGAAACACATAGCTTCACTGGAATTTGAAAAGGGAAGTAGTAGGATGATGTCAACAGCGATTAGCTTGACCCTACATGGCTGACTGCTGTGGTGATTAAAGGTCCAGACCATAGAAGGAAGTGAGAGGGGCGGTAAATAGAGAAGTCCCATTCAAACAGTCCAGACATCACTGCCTGCCATCTCCCCGGGTTTAGTCTTTCTTCCCTTTGGCCTCTTTTCTCATTGAGTGAACCAGATTTCCATGGAAAGACCTTGACACTGCCCTGTGTACATTTTAGAAGAAGTATAACATCCTGAGAATCTATTTAATGAGACCCAGAACATATATTAACAAAGGCTTTTATATGTTATTAGGGCCTCTACATTTAACCCAGGGCTAGGGATAAGTTGAAAAATCTCTATGAATGTTAAGTTACCATGATAGTCACAAGTAATCTTGCTAGTTTCAAATGAAATGCTAACATCCTCAGAAAGTCTGTGTACACCATCTGCCAGCCAAATCCAAAATACTGTGCTTCAATCTGGTGACTCTCAAAAGATGCAAAGCTGATAGATATTTAACATTTTATGTATCATATCAGGAATTTTGTGGTCTCCCAATCCATTTTCCCCACACCCCCTCACCCCCCTTTTTTCCCCACTATGGCTGGTGAAATTCTGCAGCAACATGCTCTTGCCAAGAACACAGAGTTCTTAAGCCCAGCAGGCTTCATCTTTGTCAAGCTAGCCTCCAATTTCACAAAACTATAATGACGTCCTTCAGTATACTGCAATCCGTCTGTGGTTTGGTGCCCAGTTTGCTGCCCCATGTCCATTGGGCAGTGAAATTACCCAATTCTCAAGACCTGTTATCAGCCATCATTGCTACTGGTCTATAGATTCCACTGTATAAGTTACTGATTAGCCTGAGCCTCTGCACTGGTAAACCCCAATCTGAGGTCAACACTAACATGGTCTAGCTATCAAAAGCTAAATATTTTATCCTTATGGAAAATGTCAGTCATTCCTAAGCACATAGCAGGAAAGTATTACACTATTACTTTTATCAAAAAGGTTCTTTCAAACTACTTTTATGGCAATAATTGTTGACATGTTTACACTATTAAACTAGCTTCTGTTAGAAATATCAGTGTTTTTTTTTTTCAAGTATACACAGAAGTTTCTAACTAAATAATCGGTAATCATTGAAGAGGTTTATGTGTAGTTGTGAATTGAAATATATGGAGAAATTTAGAGGAAGATGGGGAATTGTTCTAAAGACAGACATTACTGACCTGTTTTGTCTTATGTGCTTACGTTTTCTCTGTGTCAGTTTCCTTGGTCTATTCAGGAAATATCTCACCTGAAGTTCCACAGATGCCAGCTTACCATAGCCAAAACTGAACTCTTGCCCTTGCCCAGCATTCTACATCTTTGATCCATACTGTTCCCTGTGCCTGTTAATGTCCTCACCACATACCCAGAAGCTCCCCTCAAAAAGCCGTGATTCAGAGTTCTTCTGTCTTACTTCCCTCATCAAGCCTAATCCACTTCTCTCAAACACATCCTATCTCTAACCCCACTTCTGTTGCCTCAGTTCCAGCCTTTATAATCTCCGTTGTTGTACCTAGACTATTTTGGCAACTTCGTAGCTGATTGTCTCTTATACCCTGACCCTCCAATTCAGATCTCTCTGAACCTAATATTGATTGTCTTTTCTTTGCATTCAAATCTTCCAATAGCTCCCCCATCGCTACCCTAAAGGATGAAATTAAGGACTCTCAACCTGGCATACATGGTTCTTCATGATCTGGCCCCATGTTAGAAGTTTCTAAGTATGTAAATAATCAGTGTCCATCTTAGAGGTTTATGCATAGTTGTAAAATGAAATATATGGAGCAATTTAGAAGAAGATGGGGAATTAGAACTAAGCATAGGCATTACTGACCTACTTTATCTTATATGCATAAGTTTTCTGTGTGTCCGATTCCTCCGTGTATTCCAGAAATATCTCTACCTGAAGTTCCACAGATACCAACTCACTTGGCCACCTGTTGAAACTTATCTCTTCCCATTTCTCTAAATTCCCCTACCTACCTACTAGTTGTTGAGCCTCATCTCTTTTGATTCCTTTAAATGCACTCCAGCCAAAATCATACTACTTGACATACTTGGATGTCATGCTGTTTAACATCCCAATAGACATACTTGGATGTCATGTTGTTTCACATCCCAATAAACAGTTACTGATTTCCTTTTGTTATTCATATATATCCTTTTGTTATCTAATTATTATTGTGATTGACTTATTGCACTAACATGGGGGTGCAGAGATACATCCATGCTAGTATTATGGTTGATGCATAGTAAATACACAGTAGATGATGGTTGAATGAGTACACTTTGAAATCACTAGTTTGGACACCCCATCACTCCAAACCTCCCATTCGATAAAATCTGCCCACTTTTTCACACATATAGCATGTCTGCTGGGCATGGAGGCATGAGCCTATGGTCATAGCTACTTGGGAGCCTGACCAGGAGGATCCCTTGAGCCCAGGAGTTTAAGGCTGCAGTGAGTTATGATCCTACCACTGCATTCCAGTCTAGGTGACAGAGTGAGACACTATCTCTAAAAATAAATAAAGCATGTGCATCCCATAATAATCTGTCTGTAGCATCATCCTTATTCAGTACTTTGTTAATTTACTCTTTCAAAAAATATGTATTGAACTGTATGTCAGGCACAGAAGTTCTAGATGCTGAACACTATTTACAGTGAACCCATCAGTTCTTTGGGAACTAGTCAGTTCTCAACTTTGATCACCAACATGAAGTCCTCTTTGCTTTGATTATAAAGGAGCAGACCAAAAACAGAAGGAAAAAACTTGAATAACACATTTCCTAGGTATTTCCTATGCTCTCCCAACTAAAAGGTATGTTGTAGAGAGGCATAGGGTGTTGGGAGAAGGAGCAAGGTTTTTGTTTTTGTTTTTTTCTTTTGAGACAGAGTCTTGCTCTGTCACCAGGCTGGAGTGCAGTGGCGCAATCTCGGCTCACTGCAATCTCTGCCTCCTGGGTTCAAGCGATTCTTCCACCTCAGCCTCCTGAGTAGCTAGGACCACAGGCGTGTGCCACCATGCCTGGCTAATTTTTTTTGTATTTTTAGTAGAGACGGGGTTTCACCATGTTGGCCAGGATGGTCTCGATCTCTTATTTTTTTTAATGCCTCCTATGTGCTAGAAAAATTACATTTTTAAAATTTAATGCTCATAACAATAACTCCAAAAAGTATCGTGCCCATCCAATACAAGAAAACAAACAAATCTTAGAAATTAACTTTCCAGAATACCACAGATACTAAGTGGCAGAAGCAAAATTTAAAAAATAATTCTCCTTCCAATACTCCCTCCCCAATAGCCAGTACTTGAAGCAACTGCCAATATAGACTAAATTCTTTCAACAGATAGTTCTTGCCTGCATACTATGTGCCAGGCCTTTCTAGATGTTAAGATAAAAATGTGCAAGACAAACAGGGCCTCTGTTCTTAGAGATCTTAGTCTAAGTGGTAACTAAGGAGAAAGTAGGAAAAAGTATGCTGCACCTGAGGGACCTTGACAACATCAATGACTTAAGAAAGTGGCAGAGAAAAGGAATATGGAAGAGAAAATTGAGTAGAATGTTTACTTTTATTATTATCCTTTATTATCTATATTATAATCTTTCGATATTAAGTTACCTAAACTGATATGAACACATGGCAAACGCTTCCTCCCTCACCTTTCTATGTTTACACTTCCTGATGCTGCTAAAATTAGTTAAAAATCATAACTTCACATAACCTTAAAAAGTTAAGAACTTGGCCGGGCACGGTGGCTCAAGCCTGTAATCCCAGCACTTTGGGAGGCTGAGGCGGGTGGATCACGAGGTCAAGAGATCGAGACCATCCTGGTCAACATGGTGAAACCTCGTCTCTACTAAAAAAAATACAAAAAATTAGCTGGGCATGGTGGTGCGTGCCTGTAATCCCAGCTACTCAGGAGGCTGAGGCAGGAGAATTTCCTGAACCCAGGAGGCGGAGGTTGCGGTGAGCCGAGATCGCGCCATTGTACTCCAGCCTGGGTAACATGAGTGAAACTCCGTCTCAAAAAAAAAAAAAAAAAAAAAGTTAAGAACTTTTCTTTGTAGCAAAGTTCCCTTGCTAGAACCTCTAAACAAAGTCATGTGCTGCATGACATTTCAGTCAACAACACACCACAGGTACAGTGGTGGTCCTATAAATTAAAATCATATTTTTACTATATCTTTTCTATGTTTAGATATCTGTTTAGCTACACAAATACCATTTTGTTATAGTTGCTTACACTATTCAGTACAGTAATGTGTGGTACAGGTTTGTAGCCCAGGAGCAACAGGCTATAATATATAATCTAGGTGTGTAAGTAGGCTATACCGTCTAGGCTTGTGTAAGTGCACTCTGTGATGTTTGCAAACCAACAAAATTGCCTAATGACACGTTTCTCAGAACTTATCCCTGTTGTTAAGTGATGTGTAACTGTATTCCACTTCCAACTTGGGAAGCTTATTCAGGTTCCCAGCATACGTATTTGTGACAATAATAATAATATGTAACTTTGTTGAGTACTTACCCTGTTCTAAGTATATTACATGCATTATCTTAGTTACACCCTAAAACAACTTCATGACCTTAAGAGCCAGAGACAGCAAACGATCCTTTTCCCCCTGAGCACATAGTTAGACCACATTTCCCAGCCTCCTTTGCAATTATTTGGGGTCTTGTGCCTGACTTCTGTCCCGGAGAATTTGGCAGAAATAATGAAAGTCATTTAAGACTTGACCCATAAGCCCTCAAAAACCTCCTACACATGCTCCACATTCTCTTTCTTTCCCTACTTACAGGCTGAATGAAGATTTTAAAGAATCTAGAGGAGGTCAAAACCACAAAATGGAAGAAGCCTGGGGTCACAGATAAATCCTTGGAGGAATGCTGCCCATGAGAACTGCATGACCAGGAACACCTGTGTTAGATTTTATTTGCTTTATTAAATTATGCTGCTGGGCGCGGTAGCTCATGCCTGTAATCCTAGCAACTTGGGAGGCCGAGGCAGGCAGATGATGATGTCAAGAGTTTAAAACCATCCTGGCCAATGTGGTGAAACCCCATCTCTACTAAAAAAATATAAAAATTACATGGGGGTGGTGGCACACACCTGTAATCCCAGCTACTTGGGAGGCTGAGACAGGAGCATTGCCCGGGAGGCAGAGGTTGCAGTGAGCGGAAATTGCACCACTGCACTCCAGCCTGGCAACAGAGTGAGACTCCACTGCACAAGAAAAAAAAAAAAAAAAAAAAAAAAACACCTTTCTAATGTTCTAATGAGGCATGGCACAGTGCCTCACAACTGTAATTCTGGCACTTTGGGAGGCCTCAGTAGTAGGATCACTTGAGTCTAAGAGTTCAAGACCAGCCTAGGCAACATAGTGAGACTTCTTCTCTACCAAAAATTTTAAAAATTAGCCGAGTGTGGTGGTGTGCAGCTATAATCCTAGCTACTTGGGAGGCTGAAGCAGGAGGATTGCTTGGGCCCAGGAGTTCAAGGTTATAGTGAGCTATGATTGGACCACCCCATTCCAGGTTGGGCAACAGAGTGAGTCCCTGTCACACACACACACACACACACACACACACACACACACACACACAGCCACTCTAATTATGAAATATAATAAAATTAGGATACATGAGATGTTAATATACCTGGGGGCCATTTTTCTCTGTAAACTAAGAGGCTGAATCAAGTAAAAATGTATTAGAACATGCAACACTGAACTAAAAGAAGATCAGAAGCTTAATGCTAATGTTAATGTTGGGATGAATTTTCAACAGTAGGTATCAGAAAAATGAAGGAGATTTATTAATTCATTTGAAGCAATGGAAGAAGCACAGGATTTGGAGTCAGACACATTAGGTCTTGAACTTAGGTTAAAAACTCTGGGCAAGTTATTCACTTTCTAATACATAACACAGGGATAATAGTAAATATCTTGCAGATTTCTCGTCAGGATTAACCTAATGTATACAAAAAACTAGTACAATGCTTGACACACAGTTGTCACTCTGTAAATAAATCAGTCAACAAACATTTACCCAGGATTTGCTATGAGCAAAGCACTCTGCTACATTCTCAGGATACCGAGATGACTTAGACAAAATGCTAACACGGTGTGTTAAGTACTATGATAGAGGTGTTGCATACAGTATTAAAAGAACAGAGAAAAGGTACACTGAATTCTGCTTGGAGGAATCAATGAAGGTTTCCCAGGGACATAAATTGCCATGTACTTCTTTATATGTTTATCCTTTTGGCTTTGCATCTCTATCCTCTTGGCTATTTTATGCCCCCTCTTCTGGATTAAGGTCCTTGATTTTTTTTTTTTTTTTTTTTTTTTGAGAAGGAGTTTTGCTCTTGTTACCCAGGCTGGAGTGCAATGGCACGATCTCGGCACACCGCAACCTCCGCCTCCCGGGTTCAAGCCATTCGCCTGCCTCAGCTTCCCGAGTAGCTGGGACTACAGGCATGCACCACCCTGCCCAGCTAATTTTTGTATTTTTGGTAGAGACGGAGTTTCACCATGTTGACCAGGATGGTCCCGATCTCTTGACCTTGTGATCCACCCGCCTCAGCCTCCCAAAGTGCTGGGATTATAGGCGTGAGCCACCGCACCCAACCAAGGTCCTTGATTGTTAATGAATACCTTTGTCCTTTACTCATGATATTCCCAAGACATTGACAATTAACAAATACAGGACTAATTCTTCATACAACAGTAAGGTTGAACAAACGCTACCCAAATTAAAGGGGAAAAAGACACTTGATTATATAAGGATGATCTAAATGGATTATGGCACATGCTTTCATTGTTCAGTTTTGAAAACCTGGGACTATGGATTTCAAATGCCTTGTAAACTCTAATTATTTTTGTCTTACTGTCTGCATTGCAGTTACTAGATATATGATCATCAGAGTCTTAAATGCTGCTGCACATCCATTGTTAAACTAGATAATTTACAGATGATCATTCAATAAGAAGGATGAGAAGGTTTCATAAAGAGGTCAAAATAACTACCATGAAAAACTCAATACGCTGTTGCAACTTATTAAATAACAGTGCAGATCTGGACTGATCCATGTCCCAGGAAATAATGGTATTTCTTCCAGCTTGAGTTGAAGATTGGCTGAAAGAAAGTAGACTGAGAAATGAAGCAGGCCGGGCACAGTGGCTCATGCCTGTAATCCCAGAACTTTGGGAGGCTAAGGCAGGTGGATCACAAGGTCAAGAAACCCTTACTGTTCTAACGCCAACTTACTTACAAAATACAAGGTAAACCATAGATAAACTGATTTAACTGTAACTCTGCACACACATATATTCTAGTAGCTCAACTAGTTAACAAATTTAAACCAATCCTTGCCCTGGCTACTAATGTCCACCATAAACCTCCTACCACATGATTAACACCAGTTTTCTCTCAAATCCTGTAAGTAATACCGTTCCCTAACTTCCCCCTTTTGAGACATTACTAAAATTCTGTTACAGTGATGCTTCTCCTTATTAGTAACTTTAATAAATCCAGATCTTCATAATCAACAGGTTTTCTCATGATTTTTGAATGGAGATGGCAGGCTAAATTATGTCCCCTCCCTGCCAAAGATGGCAGGTCCTAATGCCTAAAACCTATGAATATATTTTACGTGGTAAAGAAATGTTGGCCAGACTCAGTGGCTCACGCCTGTAATTCCAGCATTTTGGGAGGCCAAGGCAGGTGGATCACTTGAGGTCTGGAGTTCAAGACCAGACTAGCCAACATGGTGAAACCTCATCTCTACTAAAAATACAAAAATTAGCCAAGTGTTGTAGCACACACCTTAATCCTAGCTGAGGCAGGAAAATCCCTTGAACCTGGGAGGTGGGGGTTGCAGTGAGCTGAGATCGAGCCACTATACTCCAGCTGGGTGACAGAGCAAGACTCCATCTCAAAGAAAAAAAAATGCAAAAATTAGCTAGGCATGGTGGTACACACCTGTATTTCCAGCTACTTGTGAAGCTGAGGCATGAGAATTGCTTGAACCTGGGAAGTGGAAGTTGCAGTCAGCCATGATCGTGCCATTGTACTCCAGACTGGGCAACAAAGCAAGACTTTGTCTGGGAAAAAAAAAAAAAGAAATGTGCGTGCAGCGTGGTGGCTCACACCTGTAATCCAAGCACTTTGGAGGCCAAGGAGGGCAGATCACCTGGGGTCGGGAGTTCAAGACCAGCCTGACCAACATGGTGAAACCCGTCTTTTTTTGTTTAAAAAAAAAAAAGAAATGTGGCAGATTTAATAAAGTTAAGGTTGGGGAGATGATCCTGGATTATCAGGAGGACCAATGTAATCACAGGGTCCTTATAAGAAGAACACAGGCAATCAGAGGAAGGAGAAGGCTATATAATAACAGAAGTAGAGATAGTGATATTGCCTCAATCCAAGGAATGTCAGTCCATCTAGAACCTGAAAGAAACAGTAAATAGATTCCCTTTGGAAACTCTAGAAGAAATCATCCTTGTCCACACCTTGTGTTTAGTCCCACTAGACTGACTTTAACTCCAGCATAAAAGAAGGTAACTTCTAGAGGTTAGAGGTCTAAAATCAGATTTTAAAAAAATTCCATTGTGTTAAATCACTATTTTTGTGGTCATTTTGTTACAGCAACAAGAGGAAACTAATACATGGAGCTTTGGCAGGAATTTGCAAAGTACATTCTTGTTGCTTTGTGGAAAATGGAATGTAAAATAAGAACAGAAGAAAAAAAAAAAAAAACGAGGAAGAAATTGCTGTAGACCAGAAGAGCAGTGATTGTGACTTAAAATAGGGTGGTAACCATTCAAGATGCCTTGCCAAGGACTTGGCATAATCACTATGGTCAGCTGAGATTCAACTGTACATTGTTAATGGATTTTTCAAGTACAGAAAAGCAAAACGAGCTTTTGCTCTATGGTAGCATCTTGATGGAATAAGTAGCTATTTCAATAGAGGTTCCCAGAACAGCTTTTGTTACTGTCATTTTCTTAACCTTGTTCACTTGTCCTTTAATTTGAACTACCGAGTGTGCTTTTAATACATTCCTTGTTTGATTGCAAAAAAATAAAAATAAAAATAAAATAGGGTGGTAAGCATGGAAGTCAAAAGAAGTAGACAGGTTTAGATACATGTTGAATATAGAATCAACAGAATTTGCTGGTAGGCTGACCTGTAGGGAGTAGAATCTGAGGACAGTTGCTCAAGTAAAGACTATGAAAGGATGACTCCTTGGATTTTGAACTGAATAACTGTGTGAATGGAGAATAAGGGCAGACAAAGTTGGAAGGAAGATAGCTTATATGCCACAATTAAAGAGAGTCTGGATATTGTCTTGAAGGCAAGAAGAAGATTGAAAGATTCTAAGGACAGAAATAATACAGAGGACTAATGTACCTTTGTGGTACCTCTCATATTTGAAATTCATTTAGTCTTTTAAATGATTCCCTGAACCAGAAACCATTATTTCATCTCATTCTTTCTTCCTTTACCTGTATAATGCTTTGGTTGTTAGTTCAATTACAGCCTTGTTATGAGATATCAAGAAAGTTTTGGACAGCTAAATTTTACATTTTATGGTCTTCATTGGGCCTAATTCACAGCAGGATTACAGAAGATTAGACAACAAAAAGCTCATAAAAATAGTTGTACTCCTTTATAACACTCAGCCCAAGAGCAAGATCAAAATAAAACTAGGTGGTGGATAGAGTACTTTATGATAGTGGCATTAGAAATGAGAAGAAGCCTATTGATTCTAGAGGTAAAAATGCATAGGAATTGGCAAAGAGATTGGATGAAATGGATTAAGGAGAATGCAAAGTTTAGGTTGATTCCGAGGTTTCTGGTTGTATCATGATGCTATTCACTGAAAAGGAGAAATCCTGTATCGGGGGAAGCTCGAAAGGTAGCAGGGAAAGAATGATGTATTTAGTTGAAACATACTGATTTTTTAAATTAATAAACTTATTTTGTTTTTAGAGAAGATTTAAATCCACAGCAAAATTGAATGGAGAATACAGACAGTTCCCATATAGCTCCTCTTTCATCACATGCACAACCTTCCCCACTGTGGACATAACATGCTACAATAGTACATTTGTTGCAATCAGTGAACCTACACTGACACATCATTGTCACTCAAAGTGCATAGTTTACATTAGGATTCACTCTTGGAGTTGTACATTCCATGGGCTTTGACAAATGTATGATAACATGTATCTACCATTATAGAATCATACAGAATAGTTTTACTGACCTAACAATTCTCTGTGCTCTACTTACTCATCTCTCCCCTCCCCAACCTCTGGCAATCATTGATTTTTCACTGTCTCCATAATTTTGCCTTTTCCAAAATTTCATATAGTTGGAATCATACAGTATATCCCCTTTTATGACTGGCTTCTTTCGCTTAGTAATATGCATGTAAGATTCCACAATGCCTTTTCCTAAATGGCTCGACAGCTCATTTCTTCTTAGCATTAAATAATATTTTGTTATCTAGATGTATCACAGTTTACTTATCCATTCACCCACTGAAGGACATCTTAGTTGCTTCCAACTATCTATGCATCTATGTCCTGGAGGCAAGAAGACGATCGAAAGATTCTAAGGACAGAAATGATAAGGAAGACTAATGTACCTCCGTTTCTGTAACCTAGTGACCTCTCAAAGGCTCCACCTTCTAATACCATCATTTCGGGGGTTAAGATTTGGGGGAGTGGATACAAACATTCATAGCACAGCAAACCTAATGTTTCTGTGTGGACATAAGTTTTCCCTCCTTTTTTGCTTAGTCGCAGAGGCTGGAGTGCAATGGCACAATCTGGGCTCACTGCAACCTCTGCCTCCTTGGTTCAAGCAATTCTCCTGCCTCAGCCATAGGGTTGAATCTAAAAAGTTACCGCCATACCCAAGATCAATTAAGTTTTCTCCTATGTTATCATGTGGGACTGTTTTGTGTTTTACATTTAGGTTTGCTGTGCTATGAATGTTTGTATCCACTTCCCCAAATCCTAACCCCCAAAATGATGGTATTAGAAGGTGGAGCCTTTGAGAGGTCGTTAGGCTACTGTGGGTGTAACTCTCATTAATTGGATTAGTACCCTTATAAAAGGCATCAGAGAAATCCCTTCCTCCTGCCATGTGAAGGCAGAGTGAAAAGACAGTGATGTATCAATCAAGAAATGGACCTTCACCAGACATCGAATCTGCCAGTGCCTTGATCTTTGATTTACCACTCTCTAGAACTGCAAGAAGTAAATTTCTGTTATATATAAGCTACTCACTCTATAGTAGTTTGTTAGAGAATCCTAAATGGATTTAAGACAAGGTCTGGGTGGGCGTGGTGGCTCACACCTGTAATCCCAGAATTTTGGGAGGCTGAGGTGGGCGGATCACCTGAGGTTGGGAGTTCGAGACCAGCCTGCCAAACATGGATAAACCCTGTCTCTACTAAAAACACAAAATTAGCTGGGCATGGTGGTGCATGCCTGTAATCCTAGCTACTCAGGAGGCTGAGGCAGGAGAATCGCTTGAACCTGGGAGGCGGAGGTTGAGGTGAGCCGAAAAATAAATAAAAATAAGATCTATGATCCATTTTTTAAATCCTTGATGCTGATTCTAGAATATGATCCATTTTGACTTAATTTTTGTGAAAAGTATAAGGTCTGTGTCTAGATTCATTTTTTTGCATGTTGATGTCTAGTTGTTCCAGCAAAACTTGTTGAAAACACTATCTTTTCTCCATTGAATTGCCTTTGCTCTTTTGTCAAAGATCACTTGACTATGTTTATGTGGGCCTATTTCTGGGCTCTTGATTTTGTTCCATTAATCTCTTTGTCTATTCTTTCACTGATACCATGCTGTCTTGATTACCATAGCTTTATAGTAAGTCTTGAAATCAGGTAGTATTAGTCTTATTTTGTTCTTCTCCTTCAATGTTGAGTTGGCTATTCTGGGTCTTTTGCCTTTCCATATAAACTTTACAATTAGTTTGCCAGTATCCACAAATAATGTGTTAGGATTTTGATTGGGATTGCATTGAATTGATAGATTAAATTGGGAAGAACCAGCATCTTGACAACATTTGAGTCTTCCTATCCATAAACATAGAAGATTCCTCTATTTCTTTAGTTATTTAATTTATTGGTAGTCTTCCTCATATAGACCTTATACATATTTTGTTAAATCTATACCTAAGTATTTTATTTTTGGGATATACTATTGTAAACAGTAATGTGTTTTAACTTCAAATTCTACTTGTTTATTGCTAATTTATAGGAAAGTGGTTGACTTTTGTATATTAACATTGTATCTTGTAACCTTGCTGTAATAGCTTATTAGTTTCAGGAGTTCATTTGGTTAATTTTTTTGGATTTTCTACATAGATGATCATGTCATCTGTAATCCAGTTCAACAAATCCAGTTCAATTTCTTCCTTCTTAACTGCATATCTTTTATTTTATTTTTTTATTGCATTAGCTAGGACTTCTAGTACAATATTGAAAAACAGTGGTGAGAGGACTTGCT